TGAGGCGGGAAGGATCGCCGGAGCCCAGCAGGTCGAGGCTGCGATGGCCGGGAGCGGCCACTGTACTCCAGTCTGGGCGACAGAGACTCCAACTCAAAAAAAAAAAAGAAAATACCCTAGTGCCTTCCAAGCAAAACTTCAGAACAGGAATATAACCTTTAAAAACATAGGCTGGATACAGTGGCTTACGCCTGTAATCCCAGCAATATGAAAGACCGAAGCAGGAGGATCACTTGAATCCATGAGTTTGAGACAAGCCTGGGCAACACAGTGAGACCTAATCAATCAAAAAATTAGCTAGGCATGGTGGCACATGCCTGTAGTGTCAGCTATTCAGGAGCCTGAGGTAGAAGGATCATCTGATCTCAGGAGGTCAAGGTTGCAGTGAGCCATGATTGTGCCACCGAACTCCAGCCCAGGCAACAGAATGAAACCTTGACTCAAAAACAAAGTAAAACAAAACACAAACAAACAACAGCAACTTTCAAATGTAGTTTTATCACAAAACACTAACTGTAAGAAATTAAGGTTAATATAAAGATTAACTCCTATATGCATAGGGGCTAATAAACCTATCTGTTAAAGACTTCCCTCTTTTTTTCCCCATATAAACCCAATTCATTGTATTGAGGTGAGCAAATTATTACTAGTCACCTACCGAGACATAAATGTAATTTCCTCAACAATAATTTGATCTTCCATCCTACATCCACCTAGCTCACCCCAATATCCTCTGTAAATTCTCCCACTCCCCAGCCTCTACTCCTTAGGGAACACATATCTTGAAGACAGAAGGAAGGAGCACTGGAAGTCTGAGCATTTTTTATTTAGAAGTTTTTTTGATTTATTGCTTTGTGGAATCTAAAAACTTTGGTCTAGAGGGGCTAGGAAGGCATGAGATAGAAAAAAATAAACTAGATACTTGCTAGCTGGGGCTTTCCTAGATTATTCAAGTCAGTTCATCAGCACAGCAAAACAAGTAAGAATGTTAAGTAGACATAGCTAAGAAATAAAGACTGGAATTAGCAGGAGTTTCTCTAATATAAAATCTCTCAGGGCCAGGCTCAGTGGCTCAGCCTATAATCCCAGCACTCTGGGAGGCTGAAGCAAGTGGATTATCTGAGCCTGCAGGTTCAAGACCAACCCAGGCAATGTGGCGAGACCCCATCTCTACAATCAATCAAAAAATAGCAGGGTGTGGTAGCGCGCACCTATAGTTCCAGCTACTTGGAAGGCTGAGCCAGAAAGATTGCCAGAGCCCAGCAGACTGACGCTGGGGTGGCCGTGAGTGTGCCACTGCACTCCAGTCTGGGCGACAGAGTGAGACTCCAACTCAAAAACAATAAAATAAAATCTCTCAGGGACCTCATGTAAAACTGCTGAGACACTGAAAGGGAAGAAACTACAAAATACATGCTATTTGAAAACAGAATCCTCAGTCAATGAGCTGGATTTATAAACGAAAGACCTTTGAAAATCACAAAGTCAGACGTTTTGGAATATAATTTACATAAAATGTGAAATTGTTATTCTCTGACAGATTACATGTAGTATGCGTCTTACCATCTCCATTTGGCAACCAATGGCCTCTAAAAGTGCTGAATCTTGAACAATATTTAACATTGCCCCTGCAAAAGCAAAAAAAAAAAAAAAAAAAAAAAGGGTTTTATATAAAATACACAAGAACACTACAATAGCTCAATATCTTGTATGTTTAATAGCGGAGATAAGAATATAATTTTGGGCCAGGTATGGTGGCTCATGCCTGTAATCTCAGCATTTTGGGAGGACTGTTTGAGGCCAGGAGTTCAAGACCAGCCTGGGCAACATACCAAGATCCCCGTCTCTTAAACAAATAAAAATAAATGTTTAAAAAAGAGAACAAAATATACTTTTGGCTGAGCATTTCCTGAAATTCCCATAAAATTACAGTTGACCCTTGAACAACATGGGTTTGAGCTGCATATACATAGGTTTTAAAAAATTTTTATTATAATGTATGTATTTGTTATAGATTTTTGGGGTACAAATGAGGTTTACTACATAAGTAGGCTGCATGCAGGTGAAGTCTGGACTTCTAGTTGGCCCTCAATACCCCTGGTAGTAGCCCAAGGACCCATTGTGTTGTCATGTGCCTCCCACTTTCCTCCCTCCCTCCCTCCCCTAGTAGTACTCAGCAACTGCTCTTTCATTCTCTTCACAGCTAAACTTCTCAAAGACTGTTCTATATTGTAAATACACAGATTTTTTTTCAATAAACATATTAGAAAGCTTTTTTGGAGATTTGCAACAATTTGAAAAACAAACTGCAAAGCCTACAAATATTGAAAATATTAAGAACAAGTTAATTGTATGTTACGAATGCATAAAATACATGTATATACAAGTCTATTTTATCATTTGCTACCATAAAATATATACAAATTTATCATAAAAAGTTAAAATTTATGAAAACGTGTGCACACACACACTTACAGACCATATATGGCATCATTCGCAAGCAAGAGAAATGTAAACAAATGTAAAGATGCAGGATTAAGTCATAACTGCATAAATTAACTGTACTATACATACTATATGACTCTCATAGTTTTGTAGCTACCACCTGTTGCTACTGGGATGAGCTCAATTGGTACAAATATCCACCCAAAATGCCATGCGGCACTAATCATCTCCCCATGTGAACAGTTCATCTCTCTAGTAAATTGCATATCGCAGTAAAAAGTGATCTCTTGTGGTTCTCATGTATTTTTCCTCATACTTAGTGCAATACCATAAGCCTAGACTAAGACCATGGGACCCATATGAAGTGCCACTACTGATGCTATTAGTGCTGTCAAGAAGCAGAGAAAAGTCATGACATTATGATACAAGTTGAACTGTTTCCTATGTACTGTAGACTGAGACTGCAGCTGCAGTCACCCACCAATTCAGATGATTCTCTTGTAAACAGAGAATGTAAAGTTACAGTCTCAAGAAATACTGTATATGTACTGCCTTCCTTATGATTTTCTCAATATTTTATTTTCCCCAGTTTACTTTAAGAATACAGCATATAATACATATAACATTCAAAATATGTGTTAATCAGTTGTTCATGTTATTGGCAAGGCTTCCAGTCAACAGTAAGCTATTGGTAGTTAAGTTTTGGGGAAATCAAAAATTTTATGTGGATTTTCAACTGCTTGGAGAGTTGGTGTCACTAACCCCTGTGTTGTTCAAGGGTCAACTGTACTAATAACTCCACTGATTGGTCAGAAAAGATACTCTTTTAAAATTCCCTACTTTGGAGCAGAACCATTTTAGAAAGACCTCAAGTTCAGCTCTGCTCCCTGGATTTGAACTCAGAAATAAACTTCTTTCTACCAGTTTCCTGTACCTTGATTTATTGGTATCAAGGGGAGCGACTGAGTATTACTTGGTCCATAACAAATCCTCCTCCACACCGCGCCCCAATTTACTTTCTAGATAAACTATATTTTCTAGTTGGGCATGGTGGCTCACACCTGTAATCCCAGCACTTTTAAGATAGAAGCGAGAGAACTGCCTGAGCCCATGGGTTCGAGACCAGCCTGGTCAACTTGGTGAGACCTCATCTCAACAATAAACCAAAAAATTAGCCTGGTGTGGTGGTGCACACCTGTAGTTCCAGCTTATTTGGAAGGTGAAGCAGTTCGAGGCTGAGGTGGCCGTGAGCATGCCACTGTACTCCAGCCTGGGTGACAGAGTTAGCTCCCGACTCAATAAATAAATAAACAAACAAACAAACTATATTCTCCTGGGTGACAGACTCCAGCTTAATAATAAACAAACTATATTTTCCAATCTAAAAAAATAAAATAAATAAGATAAAATTTCCTAATTCTGATCTGTCCCCAAAGCTTTAAAATCACAATTTTTTTTTTTTTTTGAGTTGGAGTCTCACTCTGTTGCCCAGACTGGAGTGCAGTGGCCGCTCCCGGCCACCGCAGCCTCGACCTGCTGGGCTCCGGCGATCCTTCCGCCTCAGCCTTCCAAGTAGCCAGAATTACAGGCATGTGCTACCACGCCCAGCTGATTTTTTGATTTATTGTAGAGATGAGATCTCGCTGCCCAGGCGGGTATTGAACCCGCAGGCTCAGGCAATCCACTCATCTCAGCCTCCCAAAGGCGCGGGATTACAGGCTGAGCCACCGAACCTGGCTCACATTGTTCCAAAATAAATGTGAAGGTCAAACTTTGCTTTACATAAAAACATGCCCATTATCAGACATTTTTAAATTGCTGTAAAAGACCAGATGAAAGCATCTTAATTTTAAGGGTAATACAAACCAAGAAAAACATTATGGAATACTTTTAAAACTAGGTTCTGATCTTTAAAAAACAAAATAAAAACAACAAAATAAAAATCACAGCTATACCTTTCTGCTTTTTAAGAATGATTAAAGGCACACAGTCTGGGGCTTGCCGATGTCTGCATAGTCTGAAGGCAAGCCATTTATTTATGATCAAGACACTCATAGCTCTGGAAAGGCTAGGACAGAAATGAGATGGTGAGTGTAGCACACATCTTTCCATCCCAGTGGGGGAGTGCTGTTCCCCACTATGGATAAAGAGAAGATAGAAAGGGCTTTGCCAATCTATGGCAAGAGTGATAATTGACTCTTCTGCAGAATGTACATAGGGAGCTCTTCAGAGAACTGGGATAGCAAACAAAATACTCTATCAAATGTAGAAATTATCTTTTATCAAATGAAATTAGATAATTTCAAGCAAAACTATATCATTTAAGTAACCTAAAACACCATAACTTGCAGGTCCTCTCACAACAAAACATACCCCTTCCACATACATCCCCTCTGGGTTCAAAATGTATCTGAGATAGTTTTTAGGGTTTTTTTTAAGAGACAGGGTCTTGCTTTATCACCTAGGCTGGAATACAGGGGAACGATTACAGTTCACTGCAGCTTCAGCCTCCTGGGCTTAAACAATCCTCCTGCCTCAGCCTCCTGACTACAGGTATGCACAACCATATCTGGCTAATTTTTAAATTTTTTGTAGAGATGGGGTCTCATTATGTTGCCCAGACTGGTCTTGAGCTCCTAGCCCGAAATGATTATCCTGTCTCTGCCTCCTGAAGTGCTGTGATTACAGGCATGAGCTACTGCATCTGGCCCCGAGATAGTGTTGATGTCATTGGTGGTCTCTGGTTCCATCCCTTGGTCAGACTGACCACACTATCTTCAGGCTAAATAAAAAACCCAGGCTAAAAAAGAACATAGCTATACTTCATAACTGGAAATATAAAGAGCAAAAAACTGTATTTGTGAAACTAGAATATCATGCCCACAATTAAATTAGTGGCATCTGAGATTTATAATACCCTACAAAACTTTTTACCCAGCTCTAGACAACTCAACTGATTGGGTATCTCTGGATAAATACTGTTCTTGGCAGTTGTGACCCATCTCTTCAGGATCAGTCTCTCTCCATTTTAGAATCCTTGTAGAAACATCTTAAGGATTGTGTTCCTTCTGAAAGGACATGTCTCCTACCTCCTTAGGGATAGAAGAGCTTAAAGGGAATGTCTGCTCCTGCCTTTGAACAGATAAAAATCTTAAGAAGCCTAATCCCAGTTTTGCTAATAAAGAGGAGAAAGGAAGCCTCTAACCACTGCCAAGGTCAAGGCATACTCAAAGATCAATTGTCCAGAAGCAGAAAGTTCTATCTGTTACCCAGGTTTGTGGGTTGGGATGGTATTTGCATTAACTTGGTCCAGTGGCACTTCTGTTAGGGGGCAGAGGAAAGCCTGCTTTCCTGAGAGCTATCACTATCAAGGTGAGCTTGATATCCAGAGTTGAACTTCAGTGGTACTGAGATGCAGAAGCAAAAACTAAAAATATATTGCTTTCTAATACAGTAAATTGCTTTTTACGCAATTTGAAAACTGGATTTGGGGAAATAAAGAAGAGCCCCTTTGCTCATGTGGGTCTCTCTGAAGATATTTTAAGGGAGGTAAGACTATGTTTATTGCTAATAGTAGATTTGTCATTCTAACAGCAAATACTTTATATTTTGAAAAATATAGCGAAAAGGAGAGAGTCAGACATTTAAACAAACAAATAAGGTTATTTCAGGTACTGTGCTGTGAAAAAAATGATGAAATAGCAGAGTCTGCTAGGGAAGGTCTCTCTTAAGATGACAAGGAAAAGCTAAGCAAAAATCTAGGGAAAGAATATTCCAGCAGGAGGAATAGTTAAGTAAGGCTCTGAAGAAGTTATCATGAGCTGGATGTGTTCAATGAATGAGGGGAAAAAAGCCAGGATCAAACAGAGAACCAGAAGGAAAGTACAGACAAACAAAACCTGTAAGTCATGAGCAGGAGGAAGAGCAGAAAGAGGAGAGGCAGAAGAAAGAAGGGAGGGTTGGAAGGGGCAAAGTAGAAAGAAGAGAGGGAAAGAAGGAAGGAAGGGAAAGGGAGTGAGAGAAAGAAAAGCAAAAGGTAAAATTAAAATGACCAACCAAGACAACTGCAATGCTTTACTTCCCTCATCTCATCCCTCTACATTTTTTTTTTTTACAAGAGCAAATAAACTCTGCCTCTGATTCAGAATAAGTAGAGCTTCATTAGGCTTAGGTTCCTGTCACTAATTCCTATGTCTTCAGCATGCCTGCAGTCGACAGTACCTAGGTTTTCACTTACAAAGAAATGCATGAACACAAACCTAATATCATTTGGGTGTTGTTGGGGTCCGTTTCCGTTTGCAAGGCACCTATTAGTATATTCACAAGCCTCAACTTCAGGGACAGAAAAGTTATTGGTTTATCATAAGAAGAGCTGTCATCATTACTAAACTTTCCTTCCAGGACCACCTATGGGAAAAAAAAAAAAACATTTAACATCAATTGTTGTGGCTCACTATGCCCATGTGGGAACAGCTAGTGAACAAAGAGATCAGACTAGTGAGCAAGGCTTTTAGTCTGATATTAGCCACTATGCTAAATCTGTCACTAACTCAACAAGTTATCAGATGTCACTGACCTATAACCACTTGAAATGGTAGACCAAGGTAAGCTGGCAAATTGACAAAAAATATCACAACAAATCAGTTTTGTTAATTCATTTGAAAAAACTTGAGTCTCTTTTTTTTTTAAAAAAAGTTCCTGTTCCACTTAAATACCATTTGACTTACATGAACACACAAAACAGAATATAGAACATAAAAAACTTTAATAAAACATTACCTCAGATTTGACTGTGCCAAAATGATGAGGGAGGGGCAACAAAGAAAGTAGGATATTAATGGAGGATCTTCTTAATTCTGTTGGGTTTACATAGCTTTTGAATTTTGAGAGTTCTCTGCCAAAAAATAAAAAGCTATTAAGGTATTTTCAACTAAAGAACACTTTTAGCTACTGCCAAATATATATTATGCCAACTTTTCATAATCCAAGCACTGTAGATATGTGTGTGAATTTCTATGTTAAACTATTACCGAATTAAACTAGAAATTGATTATTGATTTAAAACATAAGGCCTACTCTACAGATGTAGCACCTCTGGGCTGGAATTGCTCTTACTCCTCCTATAGACCAAGCCAAAAAGGATTCAACAGGCCCATGGACAAATCAGAACTGAAGGAGTTCAGGGATGAGGTAGGTCAGGACAGTCTACACTCACTTAATGTGGTCTGAGTCCCCTTCGAACTATAAAGACAACTAGACAGGATACATTAGGAAACAGGGAGGAAACACCAAAGCAGAACAGGGAAAATGAAACAATTGATATAATAATAGAGAATGATAGCTTACCTGTCAGGCAAAATGGTTTCAAGAGCTGAAATAAAGTAAGGAACCACAACATCAATCCCTTTCAAGTCACAGCAGAACAAAGGAGGGGAGTTTAGAATAACGCTGGCCAAGACAGGGTGGCACACATAATCATTTATCTGCAAACCTTGAATTAAAAGCATGTAAAATCTAGGAAAGCAAGAAAAAAATTTTAAACAAACTGCTGATCAAAAGTTTTCATAATTATTATTTTCTACATAGTCATCTGAAGGTCTATTTTCTACTCTTCACTATTTCTAACCTTTAAAAGGTATTACTGGAATTAAAACAATTCTGAATCACATACGCTAAGAACCAAATCATCTTTCTTAATGAAGAAAAAAAAAGATTCACGTCTATTATGCCATCTTAAAGCTCAAGCCTTGCAACTCAGGTTATAGGAGACTGCAAATGAGACAACCAGAATGAAACAAAACAAATGGCTGCACTACTCATCAATAAACTAGAGGAATTACTGAATTGAATTCCATGGTAGCAAAATTCTGCAGCATTTCACAGTTTCTGGGGGAAAAAAATAATATATTTACACTTTGTTCCCGTCTCCATTATTTTTGGGGGGACAATGAAAGAAAGAATCCTGCATGAAATCCTGTATTCATCATGGCATGGAGGTTACTCTGAGTAAGATTCCTTTTAGGAATATACCTAAATATATCTTAATTTTAACTCCTCCCTCAATCAACTCACGAAGGAGTCAATCTCTCCCATCATTCAGGGGCAACTATATTGGTATACTCCTCTGCTGGGGGACTTTTCTCTTCTCTGCTAAACTCGTAGGAAACAGCTTCCTCACTTACCGGGTACTGCTCTAACTATTTCAATCTATCTTCTCTCTCTAGAGCACAACTAAAACAATATAGTAAATAACCAAATCCAAGAGACACGTCTACATCTTAACACACTCTACCTTTTGAAAGCATTCAACCCTTTGATAACACCCTTTTCCTCTCCTTATTCTTCTCTGATCTTTATGACTATTTCCCCTATCTGCCCCTTAACAGTGGTGTTCCTAGGGCTGCCAGCCTCAGTTCTCTAAGCAATTTCTTCTACTAGCCTGATTTTAAACACTGAATATAATCACATCGGCTCTAGCCCACACTTCTTAACTGAGCTCCAGTTCTATTAGCCAAAAGCTTACTGGATTTCTGAGGGGATAAGTCTATTGATTACTACAGTACTCCTGTGCACAAATTCTGGCACAAAGTAGGCACTTAATAAATTTGTTGACAAATGTCCCACAGGCACTTCAAAGTCAACAGGTTCAAAACTAAATTTATCACTTGTCCTCTTCCAAATCTGTTGTTTTGGTTTGTCATACTAACCAAGCATTCAGTCTTATGGGTAAGACAGGAAGCTAATGGTCGTAGCCCTCTTCCTTACTGTTACTTACACCACTTGGGATATCTCCTCAGCCCATGGTCTCTCTCCTGAGAAATGTACCCCCACCAGAAGGGGTGAGCTCCCAGCACCCTTATATGACCCACCTTCACAGCTGCACCTAACTAAACCAGAGACAGACATCTGATTAATCAGACATTCCTTCCCAGTAATCTGAAATTAGGATTCAGAGATGCTAATTAGCCTTGCTGGTTCTAGACCAAGGCTAAGAAAATTGGAAACTTAGAAGCATTCTATAATACATATAAGAAAGTGATCTTCAGAGAAAAGAAGAATGAAGCAGTTCTAGGAGACCATGAAGACAGAAACAGAAAAGAGGAAAGTTGCTTTGCCCCTTGACCACTTTCTAGTATCTGGTTCCTGCTCTTGGTTTTGCGGGGGGGGGGGGTTGGAGTCAGAGTCTCATTCTGTCACCCAGGCTGGAGTACACTGGCACCCTCACAGCTAACGCAGTCTCAACCTACTGGGCTCAGACGATCCTTCCACCTCAGCCTTTCAAGTACCTGGAAAAAAAAAGTGCATAACACCACACCTCGTTAATTTTTTAAATTTATTATAGGGACGAGGTCTTGTCAAGTTGCCTAGGCTGGTCTCGAACCCCTGGGCTCAGGCAATCCTCTCACTTCCACCTCCCAAAATACTGGGATTACAGGCATAAGCCACCATGCCTGGCCTGGTTCCTGTTCTTTGTAATGCTTTGAGACACATCCTGACCTTAGAACTTATTAAATATCACTAGCTTCTCCTAACTCATTCTCCTTCTACTTTAGTCAGATTGAGAGAGTTTCTGTTGCTTAAAGTCAAGAGCCTTAAGTTAAGATAACCCCCTGCCTAATCCCCTGCATATACCATTCTTTCTCATGTCTATGTGCTTCTGCATCTGGTTATCTCGGATAGTCAGTTTAATCCTCTCTCCTGAGAATCTAGCAGGTACACAGATACCAAAATAATCTTGTTGATTTTAATCTCATGTGAGTGATCGATTGAGGAGGGCAAAACAGAGTCAAGAAGAAGACGAGGTCATTATAAGTTAATTTAGGAGAAAAGACAAACTCTGAAGTGTCATGGTAAGGACAGAGTGGAAAGAGAGACCAGAAAGAGGATTAAGTAGCAGAAAGGCAGGAATTGGTAGACCAAATAAAGATACAAAGGAAGAGGAGTCTAAAATGACTCCTAGTTTCTTGCCTCAGCAACTGAATGGATGGCAAAGCCATTCGCAAAAAAAGTTGAAGCCAGAGATTTGGTCAAGATGATCTTACCCAACTTCCTAATAATAGTCTAAATACTACCCACTCCTTATAGTCCAGTACTATCATCCAATCCTCCATAATGCTTTCTTGAGCCCCCTGGGGTAAGTGTGCATTGCTTCTTCTTCTGAATGCCCACAGCACTTTATCTGTGCCTCTCTCCCACCAACTTCCTATTCCTATTCCTATTGAATCGTCATTATTTGTGTACATGGCTTTGTTCACTCAAAAAAATAAGTTCCTCAGAAGCAGAATTTACAGCTGGCTTATTTCTGAACTGTCTACATGCCCGATACTACACTAAAATTAATTAACAAATTATTGTGGTCCTTCCAAATCTCTCCATAATTAATAAAATTCAAATAAAATGAAATAAATAACACTTCTAAAACAAAAACTGTTTTAAGGGTCTTTACCAAATCTAATGAGGCAAATAATATGAAAGAATTCAATCAAATTTTAATTATTGAAAGACATTTATAGGTATTTCAAACTAACATTTACGTATCAGTTTAGTCTACCAAGCCATGCTACAAGTTTCTATCAAAACTATATAAATGGAAAAAAAAATTCTAAGACCTGGATAAATAAGCTGGCAGAATCTCTTCTCCAGTCTTCTTGCTACAAAAAATCCTACACAGTGTCCCACAAGCCTCAGCTCTTCCTGCTTCATAGTTATCAGGAAATTCACTTGCATCAAACATAGGATTGGAAACCATGGTGTCCGTGGACATTTGTGACCCTTTTCGTCGAAACTCCATGCTAGCTTGTGTTGTCATGGCTGGAGAGAGAAAAGGAGGGTTTTATTATATTCATCAATGTGCCAAATAGGCTCATGGGACCCTGGACACAAAGATCAAATGTTGGTGTCATTAAATAGCTACTAGAATCCAATAATGCTTTTGTTTAGCAACTATGTGTCAATGTTTTTAAAAAGGGCTCTCTGAAATCTTCTTTGAAAATGGGTAACGATTAATTTACAGTGGCACTGTCAGTTTAACATATTCTACAAGAAGCATTTTTCAACTGAATTTTTGATCAGAAGAGTACATTTGTATATATCTGTATTAACATACAGATATATAACACAGAATTTGGCTTTTCTATTATTTATTTTGTTTTTATCCCCCCCTAGAGAATGATGCTTAAACATCAAGAAAAATAGTTACTGCAATTTATACATTACCCCAGATGGACATTATAACTAAATGGGCAACCCCATGGCAGTTTGTATACTTTAGGGATAGGGTAAAGTAAAGATGAGAAATGGGTAGAGAGAAAGAGAGAATTCCCACCACCCACCCAATTCCAAAACACACACCAAAGAATTGCCCAACCAAGCAAAATGAGAATGAATTTTAACAACCACAGACAGCAGCTAACTTGAGGTTGATAAATCAGAAAATTGGATTGGTAAGAAAGATTATCATGGTAATTCATTGTCACTGAAACAGAAGCCCTTCGAAAGTTGCTTTTATTTTTAACAAAAGATTTCACAGTGTATTGAAAATCACTTTGAAATCTTTTTACTCTATGTGAAATGCTTAAATTATTTTGTAATTATAGATTTAACAGAATGCAGAGTCAAGCAAAATCTTTATGCAACTTCCCATGAGCCATTTTTAGTCCTGAATAAGCTATCTAGCAATAATACATTTGAAAAACACTACATGCAGAATGCATACAAATCAAACACTAAATCTGTATAAAAATAAGCTTAAAGCTTAAAAAAAAAAAAAAAAAAAAAAGCCAAAACACAGTTAGTGCAAAGTCCTGGAATTCATGACATGACCAGACTAGTATACAGAAATAATGGGACTGATTCAGGCAGATTAATTTGCTTTTGCCAACAATCTTCCCCATTCGAAACACAGAAAAGTATTTTTCTTCCCAAGTGCAAAAACTACAAGAGACAATGACAATCAAAAATTTTAATGGAATTATGAAAAAAATAAAAACATGACTGCAATTAAGGAGAAGCTTCTGGTTCCTACTTACAAGATTTATAAGAAAGAAGAATTTGGATAAAAGATGCTGCAAGATAATAGAAATAAATGGAAACAAATCAAAGGACAGCAGTAATTATAAAATACTTTAAAGATGGTGAAATTTTACAATAAGTTAAGAAGCTTTTTAGCTTTTTTAAAAGTTAAATTAAAAGCTTTACGATACCACAAGCTAGTTCAAAAAACATAGGAAATTGTGCATTCAGGTCAAAATTATGATTTTTGTATCATGCAAAACAATGAACAAAGAAAATTACACAACTACAAAGAATTGAGGTTTGGAACTGCCCATAACGTGCATTAAAATTTTAGTTTATTAACCCTTCCCAGCTCAATGTTACTTTTACAAAGAACAGTGTACTGTCACATAAATCTAAAGCTAACCAGTCCAAAGAAGTAAATACTTTAAGTTAGAGGTGAACTGCATGGCAGAATTCCTTGATGGCAGCCAGTACTTAAAAAACAGTTAGCATATCCAAGTCTTCCACCACACCCAAGACCTCAAGATTGGTACTCAACAGCATTCTAACCTCTTCAACTACTTGGACACCTCCTATCTCCTGGGTAATGTAACAGCCTTTACCATATCTGAACACAATGAGGAGAAAAGAAGCTTGTATCTTCTCCCCAGCAAAGAAAATGTTAAGAGTTACAATTAAGATGCTCATATATGATTTTAACTCTGGTTTCTATCTTTTGGTGCAAGAGAGTGAACAAAGCTGTTACAAACTTCCTACAGAGTAGAAAGATCTGAAGTTTCCTCCAAGCAAACCCACCAATGAAGCAGTGGGTTGAGCCATTCTACATTCAGGAACTTCAGTGTCCACAGCTCTATATCCCAAAGTTACATTATAAGAATTACATCTTAGTAAAAATAAAAAACAAAAATATGACTGACGCATTCTAGAAAATACAATACAAATTAATAAATATAAACATGATTCAGAAAACTCAAAACATAAGGTACATGAACACAAAGAAAACATACCCCAAAAGTAATTTTTAAGGTTTTCACTTAATCATCATAAGTAAGCACATTTACTTAACATAAGTAAGCATGTCATAAATAAATACTATTTTCAAACTTGTGAATAAAATTATAATATGAAAATGGTAGAATATAAAGTGTCTAAATCTGAACAAAATAAAGTAAGCAAAGGAATCCCTAATAATGCAACTCTCAAATTATATTCCTAAAAAGATTTATATATTCACAATTTTTCTAAATTATTTAAAAGATCTATAAGAATATCTAAAATAATTATATGTGTATAATGTTCACAGACATAGATACTAATTCTGAGATGATACATAATAGCTAAAAATGCATTTCTGAGAGAAAGTAGAGAACCTTATGGCCATTATATTAGTTTGATCCTTGGAATTAACATTCTCCCTGGATATTCATAACTAACACAATTAGACATCTTTTTATCTCGACCTAGTTCCAAACCCAGTGAAAAAGTGCTTTCTTACCAAACAACCAATACACTCATTAATGCATCTATCACATATCTGGCACAGTAATAGTAGCTCAATAAATATCAGCCATTATCATTTTCTAGCTAAGATACATCATAAATATTCAAAATACACTGTACGACTCCCTCTATCCATCCTGCACCCTATACCACTACTTCCAAGTACAAAGGTAAGATGACAAAAATAAATTCTATTTTATTTAGGCAGTTTCCTTTTTATATTAAAATTTAAAAGAAGATATCAGGGTTGAGTTACTAATTCTCCATTAGTCTTATTAAGTTACAGAGAAAACAGTATTTTTGAAAATGTGCCCTTGAAATAAAATTCTCTAGCCAAAAACCTGAGAGGTCAGAGTCTACTGTGAAGCATAAATTTTCTGGTATTTACATGTACTAATGAGTGAATGGCTGTCATAATCTAAGAAAACACTTCTTTTGACAAATTTCCAGTCAAAGTCTTTAAGTCTTCATATAAATATTATTATCCTGGCTGACATGAAGGGAACTTCCAGGTCACCTAGTGAAAAGAATTTGATTCAACAAAAAGTGGCTAACCTGAAGAATGTCTAATAAAACCAGACAAAAGGCCAAAACTCATAGAACATACATAAAAGACAGGTAGGAAAACTTCCAAAGTTCTGTTACTTCAGCTGGAAGGGGTTAAGCACAAGACATTGCTTGGTCAGAAACAGAGCTTTTTAAGATACATATTAATCTTGCAGGTAGGAAAGACTAAAAAGAAAAAAAAGGAAAAGGAAAAAATGATAACATATTTCTTGAGCAATATTTACCAGTCATGCTGCTGTCTCTGTTTATCCCATTATGAAGTTTACAGTGAACAAATGCTGCATCAAATAACCATGATCCAAAGAGATTCAAGATGCTGTTAACCTTTGGTCTCCGAGGGGCAGGCAGTGGCCGGGGTTCTGAACTAGTCTGATTTGGACTTGACAGAGGAGAGGTGGAGGAAGTCTGGTGCTGAACTTTTGAGGCATGAGCAGTACTAACCTATTAGAAGGACACAAGAATATACCCACACCCATGAAAAGTTTGAGAAAACAGCAGGACTTCATAAAAAGGATGGCAGATTTAAAAGCCAACCTTATACAGCATAACAATGATAATGCAAACTCTTACTGTGCTTGTCTTCATGGTGGCCTTATTCACAGTAACAGCCCGGTGCCTCCGGTTATGTGGTGGGGTGGTACTAACAGCAGCACTTTGAGGCATACTTAATCTATTCACAGGTGTTGGGGGAGCACTGTCTGATCGGGGTCTAGAAATGCCTTTAAAAAAAGATAAATGCAGTTATTCATCACAGTTCAAAATGTGGGATCAGAAAATCTTCCCCATGCAACACTATTGAAGGCTTGGGATACAAAGGCTATAGCAGGGATTGCTAGTTGCCTCCCAATATCCATTCAACCATTCTTCCTAAGTAACAGAACACAAACTTTAGCTGAAATATGGCTGCCCAAAAAAATGACTCCATTTTCAAGCTTTCTTTGTAGCTAAATGTGGTCAAGTTTTGACCATAAAGATCTTAGTCAAAAGATTTTTGGTGTAGATCTTCCAGGAAATCTCCTTTAAAGGACCAGTCACATACAGACTCTCCTTTCTTCCTAATTCCTGAACAGGACAGTTGAAACTCACTCAATCAACATTGCCTAAGGCAGTGCACAAAGGATGGAAAGCCACCAGATGGAAGGGTCTCGGATCTCTGACAGTAATGAAACTGCTATACCAGCTCTATCATGCCTGCCCTTGATAGAACATATGTGGAAACAAACTATATTGCTTATATTGGGAGTTTGGTTGCTATGTAGTAGCTAAACATAATCAGAACTAATATTTGTACAATGTAATATATTAATAAGTGTATATAGCAAATGTTTTTGAAAATAACAGATATTAAATATCACTGCCTTCCAATAAGGTTAAAAAATTCTGACTTTTCATACACCTAAAATATAAAAACAGTGAAGAAGAATGGTTCACAAATGGTATAACTGCCTCCTAAAGATGTACATGAGAATGGTGCCTAATGCATTTTAATCTGTATTTTCTTGGATAACTAGTGAGCATGAACACTTTTCTCTTTTGCAATCTTGTATTCATATCCTTTGTCCATTTATCTATTAAGCCTTTTCTTGTTCTTAACATTTTGTTTGATCTATGTATGTAAGCACAACAATAAACCTCTAGCTATTATATTTGTTGCAATAATTTGTCCTAGCTTGTTACTTACTGGTCATCAAATCTATTCATCTTTTCCTTTGGGATTTCAGTAATGGCTCCTAGAATTAGACTCTAGAATTATCTAAATGTAGCTCATCATACATACAGCAACATACACAAAATTCACCTAAGAATGCATCCACCAGACAGCTGATTCCACGCATGGCACGAAAAAATATTTGAGGCAGATGTTTAAGGCAGGGATACTGATTCAATTCTTGTGGCATTCCGCTCACATTCAAGAACTGTTCCTGAAATTTGGGAGTAGAGCTTATGATAGCTGGGTTACTCAAATCCACAGGATTACTATCAAAAGAGAGAGAAGAATTAATTACACATTTAGAAATTTCTATGGCAATAAAATATATACAATCTAATTTAAGAACAGGATTGTTTGTGCCTATTAATTTGATTCAGAAAGGAGACTGATCTATATCTAATGAGCTAGGGATTCAAACACCAACATTTCTGTATAGAAGATTTGCAGTGTGTTGAACATGAACTCATTCTACCTATTCAGGAAATAAGAATCAAAGTAAAACTAGAAAGTTTTAATTTTCTAAGTGTATATATGGATACTTTTTCTAATATGTTTAGAATTGAGCAATGGGATAGTAAAGCTATAAGAACTCAAAGGAGAAAATCTACTTTAATATTAACATTACTCATTTTTTAAAAACTATTTAAAAATAAGGATTATAGTTTTATATAATATTCATATACATGCACGAAAGCCATACATTTCAAGACAATATAGTTCCATTTAAATTATATTCAAATAACCTTAAATATTTCCTTGAAAACAGATTTAAATTTCACTCAGATGGTCTGCTTTGCTGTCAAACAGTCTTTCCAATTCAAAGTAATATAAATAAACTATAGTCAGTATAAAGAATTTCCACTAGCTACAAGGCAAAAGAACTAGGCTAAGAAATAGAAATCAGTGGTCTATACATGCTGTGCCCTTTGAAACCTCTTTTTCCAACCATCGAAGGACTCTTAACTTCAAGTAACTATAAGTAGGGTAGGGGAGCATGTATACATATATGAAAAATGGGCTTCCACTGGTAGCACACTACATCCATAGAATAGCAGTTCATCATGTGAGGCAGAGGAGGTAAGAAGTCTCTAGTAGCAGTGCCTGCTGGGAGTTACAATCCGTCTGTTCAAAAATTAGAAAAATAGGCAGTAAGGTTGAAATGGACTGTACCTCTAACTAACTTCATGACTATTAGATATTGAAAACTGGAGAGAAAAGCTTATACAAGATGTAAATCAGAAATGATTTTATTGGAATCCAAATATCCAGAAAACAAATTCAATAAAATTTGAAATGAGAATGGCTAACAAAGGATATGGAACAGATAACAGAAACTGCATTCCTGCAGTCCCCAATGTCCTATGTAGCTGACACATGTGAGGAGCCTGTTAAAAATCCACCTTCCACTTAAATTTACTGAAATAGAATTTCTGGGTAAAGCTGAAGGGTAGGTGGTCATACACAAACAAGTCCAAGAACAAGTATTTGAGAACAGTATGGGAAAAAATAAAAAATGTTTCCCATTTTTGTTCATCAAAAATGTTTTCAAGCTTTTTTTGGTTTTTCTAGAAAAAGGTAAAGTATTACAAACCAGAAAAAATGTTGATGCTTGTCTCCCCATCATATCCAGCCTTCATTCCAGAAATTTGCCAAGGTTCACAGTAGCCTCTTCTGAATAACTCTCACAAACCTGCCTCCCATGCATCTAAAGCTAATTTAAGCAAGGAGGTAAAACTGTCCTAAAGAAGTCTATCCAGATGTCTGCTGGAGACCTACAACTAATGTAGCCTAATTAACAAAACTAGTTTAACCCAATGCATCCCTTTTGAGAATCTGAGTAAAGAGAAAGTCCCACTGAACCAAAAGGAATGGAGTTGAGATCATATAGTATCGCAGCTATTTACACCACTGGGTAATTATGAGGGGGCTACACCTACCCCTCAAAGGCAGGAGGAAACAGGGACTCTGAGGAAGGCCTACTGGAGAAAGAAAATGGTGTGAATGCACATGAGAAGCCAAAAAGCTAAGAGAGACAGATGACAGAGTGGCTTGTCCTAAGGATTCTTTGATCACTCCACAACATGAGAACTGGTTGTTCACTGTTTCTTGGAGCCCAATAAGACCTCTCTATCGTCACATAATAACCTCTCTTTTTCACCAACATTTGCTTAAGTCAGTTCCTAATCTTTATATCCAAAAGAACCCTGACTAAAGTACCAAAGTCAGTCTAAGAAGAAAGATAAAGTCTAAGAGATTAATTAAGAATAAAGAAACAAGAAAAGGTTATCTAAGAACTTCCTCTAAAAAAGATTCCAGGACAGAAAGTTTTCCAATTCTTTTTTTTTAAAGTTACCGAAACAAGCCGGGCTCGGTGGCTCAGCCTGTAATCCCGCGCCTTTGGGAGGCTGAGGTGAGTGGATTGCCTGAGCCCGCAGGTTCGAGACCTGCCTGGGCAACAAGACCTCATCTCTACAATAAATGAAAAAATCAGCCGGGTATGGTAGCACATGCCTGTAATTCCAGCTACTCGGAAGGCTGAGGTGGAAGGATCGCCAGAGCCCAGCAGGCGAGGCTGCGGTGGCCGGGAGCGGCCGCTGCACTCCAGTCTGGGCGACCGAGTGAGAGTCCAACTCGAAAAAAAAAAAAAGTTACCAAAACATAAATTAATCAAAAAAAACCAGAACCAGAGTCAAGTCAGAAAAACTTTAAAATAGCATTTCATAACCAAGCAGAATGTTTCTCTCAGGAAATGAAAGGTTCAACAATGGGAAAATAACTAATATATCACATCAACAGGTCACAGAAGAAAAACCATTCAACGGTTTAAATGAATACCAAAAAACCTGAAACAATTCAGTACTATTCCTGATTTTATTTATGTCTTTAAACTTTTAAAGTTACTTAGGAAACCAGGAGCATAAAAAAGAATATCTAAGGCTGGGCGCGGTGGCTCAAGCCTGTAATCCCAGCACTTTGGGAGGCTGAGGTGAGAGGGCTACCTGAGTCCATGAGTTCGAGACCAGTCTGGGCAACTTGGCGAGACCTCATCTCTACAATAAATCAAGAAAAACTAGCCAGGCATGATGGCACGCGCCTGTAGTTCCAGCTACTTGGAAGAAGGATCACCTGAGCCCAGCAGATCGAGACTACAGTAGCCATGGACATGCCACTGCCCTCCAGCCTGGGCGACAGAGTGAGACTCCGACCCAAAATAATAATAATACAAAATCTAATATCAACAACAAACATCCTACTCAAAATTCCATATATTGGAGGCATTCCAATGAAAATCAGAACAAAAGAAGGGTGCCAAAAAAGTATTATTTTATTATTATTATTTTTTTTTGAGTTGGAGTCTCACTCTGTCGCCAAGACTGGAGTGCAGTGGCTGCTCCCAGCCATTGCAGACTTGACCTGTCGGGCTCCAGCAATCCTTCCGCCTCAGTCTTCCAAGTAACCGGAATTACAGGCGTGTGCTACCATGCCCGGCTCATTTTTTATTTATTGTAGAGATGAGGTCTCGCCAAGTTGCCCAGGCGGGTCTCGAACCCGCAGGCTCAGGCAATCCACTCACCTCAGTCTCCCAAAGTGTGGGATTACAGGCTGAGCCACCAAGCCTGGCCAAAAAGTATTATTTTAATTCAACAGTGTTCTAGAAGTTCTGATGAACACAGCAAAATAATATACAGAAATAGCAAGCACCTACCAGGTACTAGATATTGTACTGTTTTACATACTTTTTCTTCTTCAATTTTTATAGCAAGATGGTACTATCATCCCTATTATGTAGACTAAAAAAAACCAAGGTACAGAGATAATAAGCTGTTTGCTCAAGTTCACAAAGAAAAAAGTATAAAACTTGACCCAATCCAAGACTTACTGCATCCAAAGCACTTTTAGTCACCACATACTGAGTATGAATTACTAGAAAAGAGACACCTCTTATTTGCACATGTGTCCATTTTAACTAGCTATCTCAGGAGAATCAATGAAAACTCAGAGCTCCTTTAAATGCCCATATATAATAGTAAAGTAAAAAATGTTCTTTACAGCAGCAATAGCCATCTAGAAGATATAATAACAGAAAACAGTTAGCTTTTTATAACATTAGCCATAAATACCTAGGAATAATGATAAAGGAGTGATGCAAAACTTTATGAAGAAAACTACAAAATACTTTTGTAAGATATAAAAGATTCTAAAAAAGACAGCATGTGCTCTTAGAAAGGTAGACTCAATGTAAAATAATAGCTTTTCCTAAATATAAATATAGGCTTACTATAATTCTCATCTTTGGCAGAGTCTGGCTAGTAGTTCACCACTTTCTCTTTTCCTTCTTTGTTCTCTTGCAATTAAGTGTGGTGTGTGTCTGAGTTGTGGCCAATGGAATATAAGGAGCAGTGGTTTACATCACTTCAAGGCCTGGCCCATAACAATCTTCCACACAATTTTCTTGCTCTCTCTTCCCCATCTGCTACCAGATACAGAGACTCCTACTTAGAATGCTGAGGCCCTAGTGTAGTCACATGTTGAAAATAGGAGAGCCTCTGCCAGCTGGGTCCCTGAACAACTAACTGTGAGAATAGAGCCCCTACTCTAGACTTTATGAAAGATGGTTAATTTGCTAAAGCAAGATATGTTCTTCACCCAAATTAATACACAATCCAAACCCTAAAGGTTTTGTGGTGTTTTTCTGTTTGCTTGTGTTTGTAACTTGTGATTCTAAAATTCATCTGAAATGTTAAACAAGTAAGAAGTAAAAAATATTCTAAGAGAAGGAAAAAGAGAAAAAGACATTAGGCCTACTAAATATCAGTAAATATTATAAAGTTAACATAATTAAGAGTGTGAATCTGGTATAAGAACAAGTGAAGAAATTAATGGAATTTGTAAACTAAAGACAGATATCACTGTATATAAAAGAGCTTAATATCACAAAGGAAACAAAATAAGAAATCATATATGAATAACTACATGAATAAGGAACACAGAAAAACTTTCTAATCTTAAAGGAAATAGAAAATGATCACAGAAAAATACATTCACGGTACAATGGCTCACATCTGGAATCACAGCACTTTGGGAGGCCGAGGCAAGAGAACTGCCTGAGCCCAGGAGTTTGAGACCAGCTGGGGCAACAAAACAAGACCTCATCTCTACAGAAAAATTTTAAACAAACCGGGCTCGGTGGCTCAGCCTGCAATCCCGCGCATTTGGGAGGCTGAGGTGAGTGGATCGCCTGAGCCCGTGGGTTCGAGACCCACCTGGGCAGCAAGACCTCATCTCTACAATAAATCAAAAAAAATTAGCCAGGCATGATAGTGCGCGCCTGTAATTCCTGCTACTTGGAAGGCTGAGGGGGAAGGATTGCCGGAGCCCAGCAGGTCAAGGCTGCGGTGGCCGGGAGCGCCCACTGCCCTCTAGTCTGGGTGACAGAATGAGACTCCAACTCAAAAAAAAAAACAACAAATTTTAAACATTAGCTGGACATGGTAGCATGCACCTGTAGACCCAGCTACTTGGGAAGCTGAAGCAGGAAGAAGGCTTGAACCCAGGAGTTTGAGGCTGCAGTGAGCCATGACTGTGCCACTGTACTCCATCCTAGGCAACCGAGTAAGACCCTGACTCAAAAAAAAAAAAAAAAAAGAAAAAGAAAAATACATTCAAAAACTAAACACTGAAAACTAAAAAACACAAAGTACAGTCACAAACTGGAGAGAAATGATAAAAAATGATTAACATCCTAATTTTAAAAAAGGCCATACAGAATAATTGAGAACCACTAATACACAAATAGAATAATTAGGCTAGTTAAACAAGAAAGATATGCAAGGAAAGTTTAAAAATCAGACAGTTTACAACAGAAGTCCCACAAACACACGAATGGTGCTGGAAGAGGGACATGTATAAAGTGATAAAACTGAATTACTAAAAAAGAAAGGGATAACAGGAAGGGGAGTATATTCCTCTGTGAAATTTTAGGTTATATCTCTCAGTGAAATTTTAAACAACAGGCTACAAGAGAAGAACTCCAGAAGGCAGATTGACCAGTCAGTGCTAGACACAGAGAGAAGCAAAGCAGTCTACAGTCACCAAAGAATCTGACCAAGTTCTAGGAACAAGATCATCATCCAGACTGCAGCAACAAGCAGGAAAATAAGCGTTGCCTCTACCACAAGGAACACATTCCTAGAGAGTGTGAACCAGGAGCAGCCTGACCCTCCTGGGATGTAGAGAGCAGGAAGGACGTGCTATTGATGAGCTTGTTGTCCAAGTTAGTTCCATTTGATGAACTGTGCTTAGCATCCACATTCAGAATTCAAATGAGATTTACAGCATGTTTCCTGCCCTAAGAACTGACTGTAGGGTAAAGAACACATGAAATAATAAAGTAATAATACCTTAACATATGTAAAAAGCGAAACCATGTCTGTGCAACACACTCATTGTCCATTTCTGGAGGGATCAGACTGGCATCTTCATCGGGAACTTTAAATGGAGGAAATGAAGGACCATATGTAAAGCGTAGCAATCTAGAAAATAAAAAGATGAACACCATTGAGTCCATTTCTTAAATTAAAAATGCACTCAAGCATAGAAACATAAGAGAAAATAAATAAAATATGTACTTCACACAAGTGAACAAGATATAAAAACCTCATTTATAAAACAGACAAACTGCAAGGTGGGAGAACCACTAAGCCAGGAATTCGAGACCAGCCTAGGGAACAAGGTGAGACCCCGTCTCTACAGAAAATTTAAAAATTAGCCAGACATGGAAGTGAGTGTCTGTAGTACCAGCTACTCAGGAGGCTAAGGCAGGAGAATCATTTGAGCCAAGGAATTTGAGGCTGTGGTGAGCCATGATCGTGCCACTGCACTCCAGCCTAAGTGACAGAGTAAAACACCTTCTCAAAAAAATAAAATACAAAATAGACAAACTGGAAGGAGATTTCTAGATTTTTGCGTTTGAGATAATGGATATGCTAATTACCCTGATCCAATCACTATGCATTATTTTATTATTGAAACATCAGTATGTACCCCACAAATATGTACAATTAGTATGTGTCTATTAAATAATTTAAAATATTTTAAAAAACATCTAATTATTTAGTTCATTTAGTTTATTATTTATATTATATATTATTACACATTATATATTGCTTATAATAATAATTACATAGATGGTATAAAATATACAATTATTTTATATTACTATGTAATATACCATAATTTGAAATTATAGCGTAAATAATATTTAAATTATTCTTTTTTTAATTTTTATTTTAAAGATGTGGTATACAATTCAGGGTTAGGTATACAGATGGTCACTGTACACGTAAAGTTTGGGGCTTACTTTGGTCCCCACGTCACCTGGTTTGAGATCAGGTACTGTTACTTATAAAGTGTCCCCCAACCTCTTCTCCCTCTCCTGGCAGTTTCCTACTACTGCCAATCCCTTCCTTATAGTATTATGATAATTGTTCAGGGTCCACTTATGAGTGAGAACATGTGGTACTCAGTTCTTTGTTTCTGTGATAGATCATAAATTATTCTTAAAAAATGCACCCCACTACAAATTTCTGCAATATAACTAAGCTGTAATTTATTCATAAATACAACTTTACTTGAAGTTTAGAATTTATGGTGTACCATAAAAGTCATTCAATTCAACAACTCAATTAACAGCAATATTCAAAATATATCAAAACTGTTAGAAATCCTGCAACTCAATTATTCTATATCTAGAGATATCTTACATACATACAAAGACTGTGTATTAAGTGTTCATATCAACAATATGTTTAAAGTAAAACACTGGAAACAACATAAATATCAGAACAACATAAATATCAAAACAATAAGAAAATTGTTCAATAAATTAAAATGTTCATATCAACAATATGTTTAAAGTAAATCACTGGAAACAACATAAATATCAGAACAACATAAATATCAAAACAATAAGAAAATTGTTCAATAAATTAAAATTCCAACTTTATAAAGGAAAACTACAAAGCATTAGAAATATGATCTCAAGAGCGATTTAAGAATGAAAAAAACACTTGTAACCAAAGTGACAAGAATCAACTATCAAATGAAAAAAGCAGATAAAAATACTATATAGAATAATCTTAAGTTGCTTTTTTAAAAGGGGAACTTAATGAAAAAAATACATTAAGATGTTAATATAGGTTATCTCTAAATGATGGATGTTTGTCCCAATATTTTCCAAATTTTCTACTATAAGTATGCAATAAAAAGATATTTTCTATTACAAGCATGTAATAAAAAGATAAAAGTATGCAAATTTTCTATTATAAGCATGTTTTAAAAAGATAAAAGTGTTATTTACAAGCAGATTCATAATACTGACGTTTCACCATGATATACAGAATCAACAGAATATACCAAAGTTTCATCTTTTAGTTTAAAACGATAATAAAGACATAAATATTTTATTAACTCAGAAAAAAAGCAGCCTGCTTTCTGACACATAACACCACCTACAAAGTACTTGTTCTTGCCACCCTTCTCCTTTCCCCCAGTCAAACCTGGATCAGATCAAGTTTCTTGTTCTAATTACCAGTCTACAGAAAATACACGCATCATGTTAACAATGTGAACATAATCATAAAAATCCATAATGTGAAACACTTTAAAGGCAAACAACCCATTTCAACTAAAAATAAACACAAAAAAATAAAAATAAGAAGGCAGAAACTATACAGTTGCCCCTTGGTGTCCAGGGGACTGATGCAGGATGACCCCACTCAAATACCAAAATCCACAGATGCTTAAGTCCCTTATAAAAAACGGTGTAGTATTTGCATATAAACTACACACATCTTCCCATATACTTTAATTCATCTCTAGGTTACTTATACTTAATACAATGCATACACATCCCTTTATATGCATGGATTCAATGTAGTACTCAGCACAAGGCAAATCCAGATTTTGCTTTCTGGATCTTTCTAGAACACTGGAATTCCTTTTTTTCCAAATATTTTTTATTTGTGGTTGATTGAATTCATGGATGTGGAACCCATGAATACTGACTGATAAAGGAAATCCCAACACTGACTATCTAACTTGTATTAAACAACTGTCAATTTCTTAGGTATGATAATATTAGAATTCTGTTTTTTTAAGAGTCCTTATCTATTTTTAGAGTTACACAGGCATATCTCAGCGATATTGCGGGTTCAATTCCAGACCACCCCAATAAAACAATTATCACAATAAGCAAAGTCACACAAACTTTTTGATTTCCCAGTACATATAAAAGTTATGTTTACACTATACTGCAGTCTACTGAGTATGTAATAACATTATGTCTAAAAAAAGACATACTTTAAAAATACCTTATTGCTAAAAAGTGGTAACAATTATCTGAGTCTTTAGAAAGTTGTCATTTTTGCTGGTGAAGTGTCTTGCCTCGATGTTGATGCTGCTAACTGATAAGGGTGATTGATGGTTGTTAAAGACTGGAGTGGCTGTGGCAGTTTCTTAAAATAAGACATTGAAGTCTGCCACATCAAGTGATTCTTCCTTTCACAAAAGATTTCACTGTAGCATGCAATGCTGTTTGATAGCATTTTACCCACAGAACTTCTTGCAAAATTGGAGTCAATCTTCTCAAACCCTGCCACTGCTTTATAATTAGGTTTATGTAATATTCTAAATCCTTTGTTGTCATCTCAAAAATATTCACAGTATCTACACCAGAAGCAGATGAAACTACGTCATGTAACCACTTTCATCTATAAGAAGCAACTCCTCACCCATTAAAGTTTTACCATGAAATTGCAGCAACTCAGTCACATCTTTGGGCTCTACTTCTAATTCTAGTTCTCTTGCTACTTCCACCACTTCTTCCACTGAAGCCTTGAATCTCTCAAAGCCATCCATGAGGGTTGGAATCAACTTCTTCCAAATTCCTGTTAATGTTGATAGTCTGACCTCCTCCCATGAATTACAAATGTTCTTAATGGCATCTAGAATGGTGAATCCTTTCCAGAAGGTTTTCTTTTTTTTTTTGAGTTGGAGTCTCACTGTGTCACCCAGACTGGAGTGCAGTGGATGCTCCCAGCCACCACAGTCTTGACCTGCTATGCTCTGGCGATCCTTCTGCCTCAGCCTTCCAAGTAGCCAAAACTACAGGCGTGTGCTACAGGCTAATTTTTTATTTATTGTAGAGACGAGGTCTCGCCAAATTGCCCGGATGAGTCTCGAACCCGCAGGCTCAGGCAATTCACTCGCCTCGGGCTCCCAAAGTGCTGACATTACAGGCTGAGCCACCGAGCCTGGCCTCCAGAAGGTTTTCAATTTACTTTGCCCAGATTCTCAGAGAAATTACTAACCATGGCAGCTACAGCCTGACAAAATGTACAGTTGATCCTTGAACAATCCGGGGATTAAGGAAACCAACCCGCCTACAGCTGAAAATCTACAGAGATTCTGACTCCCTCCCAATTAACTGATAGCCTAATTTTGACCAGAAGCCTTACTAATACCATAAACAGTTGATTAACATATATTTTGTATGTATATGTATCATATACTGTATTATTATAATAAAGTAAAGCAAAGAAAATATTATTAAGAAAATCATAAGGAAAAGCAGATGGAGTGGCATGAGCCTGTAGTTCCAGTTACTCAAGAGGTCTGATGCAGAAGGATGGCCTGAGCCCAGAAGTTCAAGATTGTAGTGCACAATAATCATGCCTGTGAATAACCATTGCACTTCAGCCTGGGCAACACAGTGAGACTCCATCTCTTAAAAAAGAAAGAAAATCACAAGGAAAATAATATTTATAGTGCTGCACTGTATTTACTGATACCATAAAGTTGTATCATCTGTTTATAAGATGAATTGTCTATCTGAAATGGTGGGCAACTGCAGCTACAGACCTCAATCTACAGTACATTCAACTTTTTCTTGTAATGCACTCCAGTACCATTAGTGGCACTTCATATGGGTCCCCCAAGGTGTTATTTATTTCAGGTTTATGGTAATCCACTAAACATGAAAACCTTAAGAGATCACTTTTTACTGCAATACTAAATTTACTAGAGAGATGAATCTCTTAGAAGAAATGATTAGTGCCCCACAGTGTTTTAAGCAGATATTCATAAGATTTGAGCTCACTGCAACAGCAATGGCAGGTAGCTATGAAATTATTATGGTAGTGTACTATCACACATACTACAGCTAACTGTATGTAGTTGTGAATTAATATTGTATCTTTACATTTGTTCACATTTCCTTATATGTTGTTTACATATTATTGCAAACGGTGCCACATAGGGTCTGTATTTGTGCGCACAGGTTTTGATAAATTTTAGCTTTTTTTTTTTTTTTTTTTTGAGTTGGAGTCTCACTGTCGCCCAGACTGGAGTGCAGTGGCCGCTCCCGGCCACGGCAGCCTCGACCTGCTGGGCTCCAGCGATCCTTCCGCCTCAGCCTTCCAAGTAGCTGGAACTACAGGCACACGCTACCACACCCGGCTAATTTTTTTGATTTATTGTAGAGGCGGGTCTCGAACCCGCAGGCTCAGGCAATCCACTCACCTCAGCCTCCCAAAGGCGCGGGATTACAGACTGAGCCACCGAGCCCAGCTAAATTTTAGTTTTTTACAATAGTTTAATATGTATGCATTTTATGGTAGTAAATGATAGTATTCAATAGTTTAATATGTATGCATTTTATGGTAGTAAATGATAGTATCCACATGGTAGTAAATAATAGTATCTACATGTATTTTATGCATTCATAACATACCTTTTTCTTAACTTTTTCAATATTTCCAGGCTATACAGTTTGTGAGTTTTTCAAATTGTCACAATCTCAAAAAAATTTTCCAATATATTTACTGAAAAAAAAATCCACTCATAAGTGGACCAACACACTTCAAACCCATGCTGCTCAAGGAACAACTGTTTCTTAAACAATAAGACTTGAAAATAAAAATTACTCCTTGATCCATGGGCTGTAAAATGAATGTTGTCTTAGTAGGCATGAAAGCAACATTAATCTCCTTGTACATCTGATCAGAGCTCTTGGGTAACCAGGTGCACTGTCAATGAACAGTAATATTTTGAAAAAACTATTTTCTTCTGGGCAGTATATATCAACAATGTGCTTAAAATATTCAGTAAACCACATTGTAAACAGATATGCTGTCATCTAGGCTTTGTTGCTTCATTTATAGAGCACAAGCAGAGCAGATTTAGCATAATTCTGAAGGACCCTAGGATTTTCAAGATGGTAAATGAGTACTGGTTTCAACTTAAAGTCACCAACTGCATTCGCTTCTAACAAGAGAATCAGCCTGTCCTTTGAAGCTTTAAAGCCAGGTGTTCACTTCTTGTCTCTAACTATGAAAAGTTCTAGGCCAAGCTTGGTGGCTCAGCACTTTGGGAGCCCAGGGGTTCAAGACCAGCCCGGGGAACTTGGCAAGACCTTGCCTCTACAACAAATCAAAAATGGGGCAACCCCTTCGGGCCCCCTCCCGCTATGGGAGTTTTTCTGTTCTAATAAATCCTGCTTTCTCACCTTGAAAAAAAAAATCAAAAATTAGCTGGGCATGGTAGCATGCGCCTGTAGTTCTGGCTACTTGGAAGGCTGAGGCAGAAGGACAGCCAGAGCCCAGTAGGTCAATGCTGGGGTGACCATTGAGTGTGTGTGTGCCACTGCACTCCAGCCTGGGCAATGGAGTGAGACCCCAACTCAAAAAAGAAAAAAAAGTAAAGTTCTAGATGGCATCTTCTTCCAGTAGAAGGCTGTTTCACCTACACTGAAAATCTGTTGAAAATCTGAAAAACTTCATGAATGATCTTAACTAGACCTTCTGGTTAACTGGCTGCAGTTTCTCCATCGGCACTTAAGAAAGTTCACTTTCACCTTTAACTTTCATGTTATGGAGATGGTTTCTTTCCTTAAATCTCATGAACCAACCTCTGCTAGTTTCCAACTTTTCTTCTGCAGCTTCCTCACCTCTCTCAGCCTTCACAAGGCTGAAGACAGTCAAGGCCTTGCTTTGGAATAGGCTTTGGCTTAAGAGAATAATATGGCTGGATTGACCTTCTATCCAGACCACTCAAACTTTCTCTGTATCAGCAATAAGCTGTTTTGCTTTCTTATCATTCAGATGTTCACTGGAGTAGCACTTTTAATTTCCTTCAAGAACTTTTCCTTTGCATTCACAGCCTGGCTAACTGTTCGGTACAAGAGGCTTAGTTTTTGGTCATTCTTGACTTTTAATACACCTTCTTCACTAAGCATAATCATTTCTAGCTTTTAAAGTGAGAGACATGGGATTCTCCCTTTCATGTGAATGCTAACAAGCCACTGTAGAGTTACTTACTGGCCTAATTTCAATATTGTTCTGACTCAGGAACAAGGGAAGGGAGAGAGTCGGGAATAGCTGGTTGGTGAAGGAGTTAGAACACATACAACATTTATCAATTAAGTTCATCATCTTATATGGGCACCATGTCATAAGTTCACCATCTTACATGGAATGCATGGCACTCCAAAACAATTACAATAATAATACCAAAGATCACTGACCACAGATCACTCTAACAGATACAATAATAATGGAAAAAGTCTGAAATATGTGAGAATTACCAAAATGTGACAAAGACACATTAAGTGAGCACATCCTATTGGAAAAATGGCACCAATGGACTTGCTCAATGCAGGGTTGCCACAAACCTTCAATTTGATACTTCAAAAAACATAGATAACTATGAAGCTTAATAGAACAAAGTACAATAAAACAAGGTATGCCTGTATATTAATATATGTAGGATTGAACTAAGTCTCAAAAAATGAACTTAACAATTCATAGAATAGTGATGGTATTATATGTAAGTGGTAAAAAGGTAAAATTATCGTTTAAAATACTGCCAGCCAGGCACAGTGGCTCATGCCTGTAATCCCAGCACTTTGGGAGGCCAAGGCAAGAGCATCACTTGAGGCCAGGCATTCAAGACCAGCTTGGACACCAAGATTCCATCTCTATAAGAGATTTTTTTTTTAAGTTAGCCAGGCAGGATGGTGCATGCCTGCAGTCCTAGCTACCAGGAGGCTGTGACTGGAGGATGCCTTGAGCCCAAGAGTTCAAGGCTGCAATAAGCTAAGATCATGTCACTGTACTCCAGTCTGGGCAACAGAGATCCCATCTCTTTAAAAAATAATAATAAACCGCCCACTTTGGTTATAAAATAGTATGTATAGTGTAGCCCTATTTCTGTAAAATCATATATAAACATATATAGTAGAATTTCAGGAGAGCTTGACTTTTCTGTTATACCTTTTTATGATTTATTTTTTTAAAATAATAGTCACACAGACAGGTACAGTGGCACACGCCTGTAATCCCAGTACTTTGGGAGGTGAAGATGACAGGACTGCCTGAGTCCAGGGGTTCAAGACCAGCCTGGGCAACTTGACAAGACCCTGTCTCTACAATAAATCAAAAAATTAGCTGGGTATGGTGGCACAGACCTGTGGTTCCAGCTACTTGGAAGGCTGAAACAGAAGGATCACCTGAGCCCAGCAGGTCAAGGCTTCAGTGGCTGTAAGCATGCCACTGCTCTCTAGCCTGGGTGACAGTGAGATTCTGACTCAAAAATATATAAAAATAAAATAAATAAAATAAAATGATGGTCATGAACATTTTAATAGTCAGAATAAGAGTGAATTTTTGATGGGGGTAGTATGGTACAACATGTATCTGCTTCTGAAAAATACTTGATTATACTAAAAGGTTTCAGAAAGGCACTAGCTAAACTGTTTTATCCATTTTTTTTAAAATGGCTCAATTCTATAGTACAATGATAACGGGTGCAGACTTTTTATAATGTATTTCATGAATCCTAGAAAGACTCAGAACCAGAAAAAAAAGCTACCTACAGTCAGACAGGTGAAGGATGGCAAGTTTACAATGATAACCTACCTAGAAGTGAGTGCACAGATGACCTTGCTCCACTGCTCCACCACTGCTGGGTGGTGCCTCCAGTTAGCCACCATTTCCTTGGCTGTCTTCCAATAAGGAGGTGTTGGGAAGCACCGAGTACAAGCCAGTAGCCACACCTCAAAGAGAACACCAATCAACTTCTCTGCTAGATTCTCAGCAATGCCACCTTACCAACAAAAAGAAAACACATCTTTGGCAAACTTATTTTTAAAGCAGAATCTTTGATTCACTGATTTGGGAGAATTGATCAAAAAATTAAAATAACTGCAATGTCAAGTTTTAATTTTCAAATAACATTTAATAGTAAAAATGAGAAGCAATTCTTAGGAACTCCTGTGAAGAAAATCATGGCTACATCAACAAATTGTTACTTTGAAAGTTTTCAAGTTGCCCTGCTACACCAGTTCGTATTGAGTATCTTAATCTTCCAGCAAGCGGAACAGGGGCGCACTGAGGAGAAGGAAAAGAATGAGTGCCCATGAAGAACGACTACTCTGAGTCAGTTTCTGTGCCAAGTAGTCCATACACATGGCCTCACATAATCCTTACATCAATTTTGCAGGATAGGTATTTGTAACAGCTAGTGTCAATTGTTAATTATACCCATTTTGAAGATGAGGAAGATGAGGAAACTTAGGTTCACAAAGTCAGTAAGTGAAGGAATCAGAATAAACATTCAAATTTTGCCATAAAATGCTCCAGGTATTTGAAAGCCACCCTTTAAGGGAGAGACAAATACAGGAGAAAAAGGGCTGGTAATGGGCAGGACAGTGGCTTAACCATGAACATATACCTGCTCCCTGGTTCTGAGCCCTAGAGCCAAGAAAAACAATAGCAGAGGTCCTAACTCCGCACAGCTCCAAAAGGCAAAATAGGAAAAGCTATAAGAATATATATTTCAAATAAGCAAAACCAGTTTCAACAACAAAGAACACATGAGGGGGATGATTTGCCTGCCTCGTGCTGCTGAGATCCCTGGTATGAGACGTGAGTAGCAAAGAGCCGATGAATCAATGTCTGGCCAGCTATTGTCAAGATCACAGCATAGTATAAGATCCCTAACCACACTAACATTCTGTGATTCCTTTTAGATATTTTCTTGTACACTGCATCTGTGTGAGAGCACAAGCACACTCACGTGTGTCAGTAAAGAACATACACAAATGAATAACCAACAAGGGAACTTGGAACTAGAAGATCAACTTATAGTTTGTATACACAGTGTTACAACATACAAAGCAGGGCTCTTAAAATACATCCTAAACTCTTATAAAATGGAGGCTTTTTAATGTAATGAATGGCATACTGGCATACCTCCAAATGGAACACTCAAAGACTTTGGAGGTTTCATTTACTGAACAAAATATCTTCTGTCACTATCAAGTTTTCAGACTCTACTCTGATAACTACTTTGTTATCATATAGGTATGTTACCTATAGGTTCTAATTTAATTACTTCTTTCTTTATAGGCTATATTCTAATATCCAAAACAAGTTACTATTCCCAAACATGCATAATTTACTGAGTTTCTCCCTATATTAGCAAAATCATCACTGAAAGTAAAATAACTTCATTAGTGCCAAAATCATATTGTACATTGGGATTTCCATTTTATGACTTGTTAACCTTAGTTTGTAAATTGTCATGCCAAAATTTAAATCCCAAATGAGTCTATTACCTATTGAATTTAAAGATTAACTATATTTAGAACTCAAAAAATTAGGAAAAAAATAACAAACCTTGAACAGTTGGTGGGGCCAGAAGTATATCATTAATTTGCAGAAGAAACAACAGTAAGACTTCCCAGGTTTCTCGGGCCATGATAGACGACTCACGGGCCAGTTTCTGAATGGCTCTCAGGACTTGTAAGCATAGTCGGATCTGACTGGAACCCTGTTCCTGTCTAAAGAAAGTAGACAGATTATCACTGACTGGCCTGGAGGAGAGACAGCAACAGCTTAAGGACAGGCAACTTATAATGCAGCAAGTAGTGGTCCAATGAAGCCTCCAAACAGTATCAGCAGAGAATGCTACCACATCCTCTTCAGTTTAAAGCTACTTCTTCCCCACTGTACAGTTCAGTACTCTGGGATCTCACTCTACTGCTGCTATAAGAAACTGGAAATTTTCTGGGAGAAAGGAGGGAATAGGAAAATGTAAACTTCACTTCTAGATTTTCTATGTCTAAAATGGACCTTTTTTTCCTATGTCTAAAACATACTAACAGGCACTCAATAGTCTCTGCTGAGTGAAGAGTAAATACACACAGCCACTCCTGCTGCTTACAATGAAGCAGAATAACCTATGTATTTCATTTATTCTTTCTTTTCTTTTTTTTTTTGAGTTGGAGTCTCACTCTGCCACCCAGACTGGAGTGCAGTGGCCGCTCCCGGCCAC